CCCCAAAACCCCAAAACCCCAAAACCCCTATATAAAATTCTAGGATGGATAATTAATTAATAGTACAATATTACAAATGGGAAATAAAACTTTTTGATGAGCCTCTAGGACGGAAGAACAAGGTGGTAATGCTCATTCGCAATCATTACATCAAGTTATTGAAGACACTAGGAAAGGTAGGCCAATTTATTTTTGAATTCATTTAATCTTTCTCTGAATTTAGGTACAGAATGCAATAGTGGTCGGAATGAAAACGAGAGCAATGCACATAAGATGAACCAAAAGAAAAGGACGAAGAAATTATCCACGACCACAATAAAAACTACTCCATCTTTGAAAGACAAGAAGAAGAGCATTAAAAGAAAGCGCAAGTGTAAAGCAAAGAAATCTTCCTTACATCAAACAATAATTTAAACCCTCTAATTTTCACTGAAGCTTATTTCAATATCTATTTTAGCCCATAAATGTTCCTTCAAGCTTAAAACCTAATGATCAGATATCTGCCAGCAAAAGCCAGACCATTCCTTCGTCCATAGCGTTCCAGTCTTGTTCCTCGATAGGTCTGAACAGTCCTGATGATGTTACGAAGCAATTTCTATTTGAGTAAAATATTTTGGTGAATAATGATTTAGAATGAAGAGTGCTAAAAGAAGAGCTAGTCTAAATTTAGTTTCTCCCAAAAGGTACCACATTATTCTATCAACAATTTGTTATTAAAATTCTTTGTTACATTAATCTTATAATAATTTAGTCGAGTCAAGATTAGGAGCTTCAGTAAGAATGTTGGTCAAGTAGGACTCCAAAATTATTTTAAATATTGACATTCTTTAAGAGAAGAATCGCATCGATAAGAATATTATAATTGATTATAAACTATAGCCTACTGAATTTTCAAAATATTACTAAATAGTACCTCAGCAATTGAATAATAATAAATGGGCTAATATCTAAACCTTGAGAGACGATTAAACTAATACATTTCTTCCATTAAGTTCTTAAATTTCTCACACGAATCAAAAGTATGAAATTTTCAATTATTTGATTCCTTGAAGGGGTTTTGGGGTTTTGGGGTTTTGGGGTTTTGGGG